ACACCATGTGCCGTTCGCAGTACATGCTGAGACCGGGGCCCAGTGTTTGATTAGGCGCGGGTTTGAGCAGCACTACCAGGCAGTGCTGCGAAGCAGCCACGTGTTTGAGCTGCACCGCCGCCAAGAAACCATCCCAGTTTCGCATCACATTTGTTTGAAGGAAGACATTCATGAGTTCGTCAAAGCGAGGACACTTCGAAACAGCCAAGGGTTCGAGCTGCACCGCCGCCGTCAAAGGTTCCTCCCGCTCACCAGCTCGAGCTGCGACACGCCCGAACCCACAGCGACAGCACCGTCGGCCCTCTTCTCCTTGAAGGCCCAGAACACCAGAAGACCGTCGACCCCAGCCGACACCATGGTCTTGTTGACGGTGTCCACCCCGACTCCGGAGACGGCACCACGGTGCCCCCTCCAGGACCCGGCCTTCGCGCCCGCCTTTACTTTGGCGGCCGCCGCCTCCGTCGCAGCTGCGAAAGAAANGTTCGTCATGCGACACCATGTGCCGCTCGCGGTACATGCTGAGACCGGGGCCCAGTGTTTGATTAGGCGCGGGTTTGAGCAGCACTACCAGGCAGTGCTGCGAAGCAGCCACGTGTTTGAGCTGCACCGCCGCCAAGGAAACCATCCCAGTTTAGCATCACACTTGTTTGAAGGAAGACATTCATGAGTTCGTCAAAGCGAGGACACTTCGAAACAGCCAAGTGTTCGAGCTGCACCGCCGCCGTCAAAGGTTCCTCCCGCTCACCAGCTCGAGCTGCGACACGCCCGAACCCACAGCGACAGCACCGTCGGCCCTCTTCTCCTTGAAGGCCCAGAACACCAGAAGACCGTCGACCCCAGCCGACACCATGGTCTTGTTGACGGTGTCCACCCCGACTCCGGAGACGGCACCACGGTGCCCCCTCCAGGACCCGGCCTTTGCGCCGGCCTTTACTTTGGCGGCCGCCGCCTCCGTCGCAGCTGCGAAAGAAATGAAAAAAGAAAAGCCACGCCGAAGTTATCGTCCGGGCAGGGAGCGTTCCGACAAGGCGGGGTTGTGCGTGCGATAGGTACCGTAGGTGACNCACGGTGCCCCCTCCAGGACCCGGCCTTCGCGCCCGCCTTTACTTTGGCGGCCGCCGCCTCCGTCGCAGCTGCGAAAGAAATGAAAAAAGAAAAGCCACGCCGAAGTTATCGTCCGGGCAGGGAGCGTTCCGACAAGGCGGGGTTGTGCGTGCGATAGGTAGCGTAGGTGACACAGGATGCAACACCCCCTGGACCCATTTTCAAACGAAGGGGAATGCGCGGATCAATTGGCACATCTTCAGCTCTCGACGAGACGGTTCCAACGCCGCCATGTTCGACACCGCCGCCCGCTGTTTCTGCCCTGGAGTAATCGAGCTTTCACAACCGCTATGAGGGTTGTCGTAACTTCTGTCACCTACGGTACCAGTCACNGGAATGCGCGGATCAATTGGCACATCTTCAGCTCTCGACGAGACGGTTCCAACGCCGCCATGTTCGACACCGCCGCCCGCTGTTTCTGCCCTGGAGTAATCGAGCTTTCAAAACCGCGATGAGGGTTGTCGTAATTTCTGTCACCTACGGTACCAGTCACGGCCCATACCGCACGATCTGTGAAGCATAGTTGGTCTCGCGTGCGAGTGGTTTCGAGACACGTTTAGACTCAAATCGGCGCTTGCTTGTTATTGTTTCCGTGCTCTATTTTGGTGTACTTTCAACTAGCATTCTCATGCGTCGCGTGAGGGGTGCGTGCACGAAAGCACCCTCCGCACGAAAGGGGGAGGTGACACCGCTTAGGAGACTGCATGCAAACATGGGCATCTTTTTTTTCGTATCAATGTCGTACAGAACTACATGTAGTCCTTGTGCATCCATCACAGAAAGAGTCTGTTCAATTGACCGCCCACAACCACGAACACCAACAGCACCAACAACAACACCAACACCAACAGCAGCAACGAGCGCACCTATTCTCTTGCTGGAGAAGCCGTCAGACGTGATCTTGGCGATGGACCCCGGCTTCACGACGTTAGTCAGAGCCTTCACCGCCTTCGCAGACGGGGTTGCGGACTGCGGGTATGACCCTCTCGGCTGTCCCGACTGCATGTTCTAGCGGAACAAGTGGCCGCCCCTTGTACCCACCAGGCCATAGTTGCCGCAGCCACTGTACGATCGTTTCATCATGGCACAAATATAGGTCAGCTTGTGTTGGCGTATACCCGTGTACGCTTGTGCTGACTACATATTTCTGGGTCGTTTTTCCCTCCTTGTGGAACTCTGTTGCTTGTCTGTGCGATTTTAGGAAATATACATACAAACAAACACAGATTACCCGTTCAATATATAACCACAGTCGAAGGGTATGGGTGGAAGGCTTTACAGTGAATGGGGGGAATAGCCCGCCTGATACTGGGCATATTTTTTTAAGCTTATCCATGCCTTACACTGGATTTTATCAACAAATGTCTTTCTGTTCGTAAGCCTGTGATGACGGAAGGCGTCTGCGTTAGTCAGTGGGACCGGTACTACCGATGGAATAACGCGCCGAACATAGCATCGAAACCGACATCATGGGGAACTTGAAACGGTTTTCAACGGGAACACACGGACCAACCGACCTGATCGCAACGGACGTGGCGAACGCGTTTGGGTCCGGAGGGTGCATCATGGCGTTGCCAGGCCAGTGCTTTTGCCTCAGCACGTGGGTGCCGGCGGCCCGCTTGGCGTAGCTCCACACGTAGGCATTGCTATCCTACTCGTGGCTGACGGACAGAAAACGGCACATCGAACGGCATTCGAATCGTTCAGGGATTGGAATCGTTAACGGATCGGATACAGCACCATGGCCATGTCGCTATTTATCGCACCGTGTTCATCGAAAGGACAGCTAGACACATGAAGAGGGCGAGGGTGTCAGATACCGTGGGCAGGTCAACACAGACGCGTAGCTGTATCCCTGGCACATGCTGTCGGTGTGATCAACACCTCACTGAAGGTTCGGGGAACATAAGGATGGTGACACAGAGAGAGAGAGAGAGGTCGCCATCGCACCCCTGGCAGCAAAATCAAAAACGATGACGACGACTACAACAACAGCAACAATAGCATACCAGGTGATGATATTGCACCAGTCTCTAGCCCGGGTCTCGCTGGCGGCGAAGGACAACACCGGCCGGAGTTTAAAGTCGTCCTGTGTCGTAACCCGGTGTCGGGTAGCCACCTGCAGCCATGTAAGGATGTTGTGAAAAAACACGGTTAGCTGATTTGGCATTGTGGATCGTTGTTGGTGATGGTGCTGTTCATGCTGTTGATCGTATTAGCTGACGTGCTCATGGCTAGACCCCGTCCGTCGCTCGCTTGCACGCAAGACGACTCCTGACTCACCGGTCTTGGACGCGAGACTGTAAGGCAAACATCCGGATATCGTACAACCGCGATATCGACACAAAGGCCTTTTGGGAAGTACACTGACACCGGGTATAACCAAGAAAAAAAAAATATGTGAGGGTTGGAAACTTCATTCGCGCAACTTGGCGAGCAGCTTCTGGGAAACTATTTGACAACGAGCAATACACATAAACCAAACTTCGGGGGAGTGGAAAATTTAGCATGTACAAACCTTGACGAGCGGCTTCTGGGAAAGTTCCTGGCTCAGGCAATCCCTGACGGTGTGGAAGACCCTGAAAGAACGGTCGGTGCCAGCCGACAGGACACAAAGCGCCGTCGCGTCTGCAGACGATACGGAGGGGACCACGAAAAAAAATCAAGAAGGGGGTGTACTCATAGCCGTGCATGCCGTCTCGTTAGACCATTGACCTTGCATTTCTACAAAGCCGGGACGGAGCATGCCGGATTCCCACCGGACCAAGATCTGACATCCCCCAGCGCGAAGCACCGTGAGGTATTCGGTGAGTGGAAAATATGAGAGGAGGGGGGTTACCCCACTTGCTACAATGTCTCTTAAATTTGAGTTTGGGCAGGACAATGCACTGAGTTGCTTTACATGTTTTGGTTTTGGGGGGACGTTTTATAATCATTCTTCAATCCGCTGGTTTACGGTAGGACTTAAACATAGGTTGCACCAACGTCTACAAGATGACAACACCAAACAGCTATTCAGACAACCTATACTGTCTCGCGACATCGACGGCGACAGCGACCATACACGATGCCTGAACCAAGTCGAGACAAGTGCGAGAGCTGGCTTGTGTCTGTCGGTTATAGGTGGCAAGGTGGGAGATAATCCACGTCTAGAGAAAGGCACCTTAGTGCCTGGTGGTTTCAAGTACCAATTAGGAAGAGAACGATACAGCTATCTACCTGTCGAGAGAGCAACAGCTGTCTTGCGCCTGGTGGTTTAAAGTACCCATGTAGGAAGAGAACAGCAAATCTACCTGCAGAGAGAGGCAACAGCTGCCGTGTACCTGGTGTCTTGAAGTACCAATGTAGGAAGACAACACTAAACCTATCTACCTGTAGAGAGAGGCAACAGCTGTCGTGTACCTGGTGGCTTGAAGAACCAACATAGGGAGAGGGCAGTCTATCTACCATCTGAAGAGAGAGGCAACTGAGAAACCGCAAAAACATCCCGCATGTGGACTTACCCGCCCCCTCCCCCATGGTGGCGAGAGTAGTGTTGCCATAGTACCGGACTGCGCGAGGGGGCGCGCGGTGTCCTTCCCTACTCCTCAGGAGCCTCGCCGTCCCGTCAGGAGAGTCGAAAACCCACATCTTGATGCAGTTGTCCGTCCCGCTGCTTACCAGCACCGGCTCCCTGTGGAGAGCAGGGCGCGAGACCGCAGCGTAAGCGGGGCGCACGCGAAGGGTATTGGCACCACGCCGGGGAAACAAGGTTCAGACAAAAACAAACAAACGCAAGGTATGTAAGCCATACGTGGAGAAACCTCAGATAGTGGGGGCCACGCGGAGGATCATGACACCGTTCCGGGACGAACAAGGTCGACAGCTGGTTATGACCGTCAGTTCCACGCCGTGAAACTACCGCCCGGTTGGGAGGTCCGATAAAATCGCCGGAATACCACCAAAGTACGCGGAACCGCCAATGCTACCGTAGTACAGCGTAGCCGCCCCGCCTCTCTCTGCCTACAGCCCGTCACCCACATCAACACTTGAAAGACACCGAAGGATAGCAAGACGCACGAGTCGACGCCTCGTTTCCGAAAGGTCGACTGCTCCACGGTAGATCGAGAGGAAGTGGCGAAACATCGTGGCGTAGGAACCAACCGTCTCGTCCACAGCTTTCCGAAATGTTTCGCTGTGATAGAGACACCCTCTTCGTCGTTGGGATATGAAGCTTTCAAAATTTTGTCTCGGGGGGGCTGCTGAGTTGTGTCACCTGCGGTAGGTTGGAAGCGCGGCTGGTACTAAAAACAACATGCCTGGTACTGGTACCAACTATTCTCACCCCAGAAGTAGTAGGTAGAAATAAAACCTATTTAGGGTTGACCACGGAAGGCGTCCGCGTCAGTTGGACCGGCACGGATATTACCGTGGAAGGATCTATGCTGAAACCGGAACGATTTTGAATGTGAAGACAACAACAACTTTGATGTGAAGACAAGAACAGCAACAAGAGCAAGAACAACAACAACAACAACAACAACAACACGAAAAACATAACGGGAGCCCGAACATCCCTGCCCTTAACACCGCTACTCCCAAACGTGTCTCCATGCCCACCTGGGCAAGAACTGCAGCTTGGCAATGCCCCCCTCGTGGGCCCCCATCGTGTGGTGCAGGCGCCGCTCCTTGAGGTCCCACAGGCACACGCGCCCGTCCCCCCCGCCCGAAGCCAGCAGCGGCAGTTCGGCCGCCGCGGCGTCCGTTCTGAAGGACAGGCTGGTGACGCCTACCTCCTGCTTGAAGCTGATCAGTAGCTCGTCGGTCCTGAGGTTGAGCACCTGCCCGACGGTTATTGTTTCCAACGGGACGGTGGCGGCGGAATAGCAAGACGCGGTGGTACGCGGGAGGCAGAGAAAAATCGGTTACAAGCATGGAGAACCTTGGTGCCCCGTGGTTATTTGCCCCGCGGTTATTTCCCACGGAACAGTGACGGCGGCAATGTACGCGGGAAGAACCGAAAGGAGAATATGTCGGTGGTAAGCAAGGAGCACCTTTATTGCCCCGCGGTTATTTGGTCCGCGGTTATTTCCCACGGAACGGTGGCGGCGGCAATGTGTGCGGGAAGCAGCGAAAAGAGAAGATATCGGGCAAGGGAGGAAGCCACGGAAACGGTTGAGGATGAGCAGAGTAGCTGCCCAGGACAAAAAGACAGAAAAGGGGCGTCGGCTGTTGCATACAGCGGACGGACGCCAAAAGTGTACTGCTGCTGGGAGGATACTAAATCGTCTACACCCTGATCGCGGGGTCAAGCCGAACACACGTTCGCCGCCCCCAGACCAGAGGGGGACACCCTGAATAATTAACCGCGACTGGGGCCCGTATACTAATTACAACAGCAAGAGAACCAACACTAGGCACCTCCCCTGGCGTAGTTGCAACATACCAAGCATTGGACATAGATGAAAAATGCTTTGCAAGAGCCTGCGCCGCAGGTCCAAGCCACAACCACCACCGCTTTGGAATTGGAATTGGCTCGCACGCGGCCAAACGCACAGGCGACGAGAGAAAGCACGAACAACGCCGCAAACCGAAACCAACATCGCTGTGGAATCGGTCCGCGCGCGGAGAAGTACTAAGGGGTTGAGAGCAAAACACGTTCGGTAGTGGTCTCCGGTATCACGCCGATGCGATTTCACTGTCGTTACTCAAGAGTATGAAGCAATTGGATACCCCACCTATGCCAGGCGATTTCAACCGTAGTGTACAAGGAAACCGGCAATGTTCCACCGGCACCACCGTCATTGTGCGTGTGATGGCAGCGGGGTGCGACTGTTTTTTAAATCATCCCGATCTTGGTTTTCTATCGCACCCCGGTGCCATAACACCGAAGGGTGCCGCAACACCGATACCGGTGTAGAAATCCAACTCATGTACCTCTAGATTTCCAACGCACCCCCGGTGCGATGACATCGATAGGTGCGATACCCAAGAAACGAACAGGCGGTTCCTGGGACATGTAGCTTGCGTAGGCGGTACCATGCAACCAGCCCGGAGTGGTGATCAGTGACGAGGTCGAATCCGCGTTTGGGGTGGCGTGTGCTAAAGAGAACAGAAGCTGTGGTTCCCTGCTGGGGAAGGTATACGGCACGGTATCGTTTTTCTTCCAGCCTCTTCGTTGGTGGCAAGCCCCTCCATTGTTAGCTGGTGGCTTCCCTCTGCCTTTTTCTGTCTCAAGGGGCATGGTACCGACAGAATTGAAGTACCGTTTACGACCCCCTCCTTGTTCGGTTGGTTGGAGGTGCTGTGTGCTTGGTTGAGTGAGGGAGTGAGTGAGTGAGTGCATTAAATCATGCCGTTCTTGATGCTTTTGCGCACCCCGGTGCTATAACACCGATGGGTGCGAAATCACCGATGGGTGCCATCGCACGTACAATTACGGTACTCCGGGACCACACTGTGCAACGCGCTGCTGCGCGGTCATCGACGCGGCTCACCTGTACACGGCCATCACTGAGGCCAACGGCTGCCACGTCCAGGGCGGGGGACGGCTCGATACAGCTCACCGTCGCACCCTTAGGNTACCCGCCTACGCAGGCGTTTCGAAAATGAAAAGCGCGCGCATGGTCCACGTCGAATGAAGAGAAAATATGGGCAAATTTCCACGCAAATATGGGCACATTTCCACAACAAATGGGCATGTTTCCACGATAACCGGAAAGGGGAACATTTCCTCCTTTCGAGATTGACGGTTTTTCCTTGGGATGTACCGTGGTGGGATACAGTACAGTACAAATGTGAACACGGTTGCGAGTCTCCTTTGGCACCCACCTCCCCTTTACTACATTGTTGTTGTCACATTAGAAGCCGTGCCGTATTCCGCTCAGTGTCTTCTAACATCCGTGCTGGTCCAATTGGCCCGGACGCCTTCCGTGCTCACAGGCCAGCTACAACTCAAAGAGGGATGGTTCTCAACGCATGGTAAGAGTGTCTACAACATGTAGAGTGGTGGGGCGTCATCCTAGCCGTCAACATAAATACTTGCTGTTAATGTAGTNGAACATGGAGAGTGGTGGGGCGTCATCCCAGCCGTCAACAGAAATACTTGCTGTTAATGTCATACCCCACGAAGATGAACAGGCCAACGCTCTTCCGGAAAGGTCTTGACGAACGCCGCGAGTTGTCCGCACCGCCACAGTTTTTACGGCAGAGTGACAGAGCTTCGAAAATCGGTCCAGGGGGAGTGTTACCTTGCGTATGCGATCATCACCTGCCCGCCCTAACGTTCCACAGCTGCAAGGCTCCTCCCTCCGAGCCCACCACCACCTTGTTCAGGTACGTCGGCGGGTGCGCCAGCGCTGTCGGCACGAAGCCCCCTTCCAAAGCCGCGTCGCAGGTCGGTTTACCCACGACACCCTCCCCTACCCCCTGGGGACCCCCGCGGGACCCCTTGCTCTTGCCGTCGGGGCGGTGCTTGAGATCCCAAGCCTTGAGGCGGCCCTCCTCGCAAAGAGACACGAGCGTGTTGCCGACGCACAGCAGGAAGCGAACCTGGGCGTGATACCGCGGTGGGGACGTAGACACGCCGATTCAGCATTAGCGTTAGGATCAGAAAAACAGGAAGGCATGGAGCGCATGTTTCTCCCCGATGGTTGTTGTTGTTGGTGATGGGGCACGAGGAAGGGGGAGTTGTACTAGTGTACACGCATGCCGTAGTCGGTAGACCATACACAGACCTGGCATCCTTGCATTGCCGAGACGGAGCGATATGCCGGGTTTTCGTCGACTCAGGCTACTCTCCACAAGGGTGGACCAGAAGCCGGGCACCACTCCCCCTTGCGTTTGCTGATTTTCCCAAGTTTGCTGATTTTCGTCATCCCCTGGCCGACAAAGCCGGATTCATCGATAGTTCGGTCTCTGGGGAACACCGTCTGCCGAAGTTACAACACAAGCTTACCCCACCGCCATCACCACGATATAGCCGCCAGGAAATCATGGCCAAACGCGACTCCTCAGATACCATGCGCCGCACACACTGGTGTCGAACGCACAAGGCTCCCCGCGGGTGTGTTGGAGGTCTATCTCTGCTACCACTTTCACCCCCTCACCTTCCC